AGGTTGCACATAAATATAAACCCAAAAAGCAACACAAATCTGGTGAAGAAGTGATAAATCGATCTCAGTAAGATGGACGACGAAGTGACTTTTTCGTAATATGCGAGACACGTCTGCCCAAGTCTAAGGCGCACTACGTTCCCAACTAGATTTCTTCAATTTTCTTCGAGGGGGAAATAAGAAATAAATGGAAGATGACCGACGAACAAAATTATCGAAAAATGCACAACTTGAAGGCTTGTATTTCACATCAAATTGAGCGAAAAGATAGAGCCATATCGTACTCAACCCATCAACTTGTACCATAGTGTGGTGAAGGGTATAATAATTATTATGAACTTCAGTTTCGGGATAGGCCAATACTTCGACTGAATTCGCTGAAATTCGGTACACTGGGTTACTATTGGGTACTAAAAGTCTACTCAAAAAGTTATGAATATAGGTCCACTTTTTCTGGTAACCCCCATATAACGGTATCTCCTAATTTTCAGCATTTTGGGGGATTTGAAGCTCGATCTTAAACGAATTTGCTGAAATTTGGGACAAGACTGGTACTTAGGCGTATTCTACCATAGTTTAGGGGATAGTCGTCACTCGAAATCAGTTTTACCCTACAAATTATGGAATAGTCAGTTTTACACTACAAATTATGGATTGGTCTGGTACCATTCCGCTCTTGAAGAAATCGTGATACCTATGATAATGAAGTATATTGCCCAGCATTTTGGCATCTAGATGAAGAAAAATATTGGGTTCGCAAGTGACATATGTTAGGCATGGCCCTCATATAAGCATAACCCCAAATATTCACTAGTTCCTACACTATGTATTCAATAAGTGGCCCCCTTAATGCTTAGCCTCATATAACTTTGTAATCTAAATTGCATTAGTTTATTAGTATCAGTACACGGGGTTTTCATATTTTTACTAAAATCCCCATGCGTTATTAGTATCAGTTACGCTTTGCCGGTTTCATTAAAAATTGCTTGATTGATTTACATAAACCGGTTTGTAGAATTATCGGTATAGGTTCACTTTTTGGTATGTTCCCTATATTTTCATTTCAAGTATCTTTCAGTATGTCTATGGTGGAGGGACTGAGTTCGGCCCGGCCGAACTTATGCTTTTTAATTTTTTTTTTTGTTAAATCCCTTTAATTATTCTTATTAAATTTATTACACATTTACTGGCTCAAGGGTCCTTTAATTTTAGTCATAAAATTGTATTACATTTTTTATTCAAAAAATACTTAAATTAATGTAAATTATATTAATTTATTTTCACGATTGTTTGTAATGCTATTTAATAATATGTTTGCACCAAACTAGAGCCGCCCTAATGTCTTTTTTGTTATTCCTCTTTGTGTGATGTACTTGAATTCGCCGCACAAAGAGAATAACACTTATTGTTGTTGTTTACACGCAACAACAGTCGAACGATCAAACAGAGGAATGTATGTACATACGTACATACATTTATTTACTTATTCTTTTCCTCTGCCTCTGTCGATCGTTCTGCCGCTGGGCAATGTAAATAATATTGTCCCGCTATCCTGGTTGGTATACCAGAATATTGAAACAATAAAACATTAATATTTGAAACATTCAAAGAGCAAAGACGTTTGTTTTATTGAATATTATTGGTGACGGGAAAAGGCAAGAAATAAAGTAAAAATTTACCCAACACACTAGTTGAGTAAGATAATTGGAATAGTGCAAATATTTAACGAAAAATATTTGGAAATATAAATAAGTATATCGCCGTGTTCTTCTGGCAGAATATTAAAGATTTTAACTGTCTCACACATTGAGGCATTTTGTGGTAAAAATAAATTGCTATTAAAGTGGAAAGCCAACGAAGAGAGGAAATCTTTGCTGCTGGAACAAACCATCTTCACTGCTGTTGGAGAAATATTTATACAAAGGAAAACGCTTACTCTGAGGAAGATTATTGAATATTGGGCCAAATATTGAAAATTATTGCTGCCTCAAGAGGAAGACTTACTTGCGCCCTGGGATAAAAAATACATAGTGAGTGCCCGTTGGAACAATATCAGCATCTACCCACGGAGAAGTACAATTCAACATAATGAAGCCGAACCCTTGAGCCAGGAATTTCTTCAATAACATATTGGACAAATTCCGGGGTTGTCAAAATAGGCAATCCTCAAACATTGGCGACCGTGACAGGACCCTTGTGAAGCGTCCTCATAACCTTTTAGTTTTTGCTGTTGCATAACCAAGTGCATTTGGTATATTTTTGCCCGCCTTTCTCCGTCGGCCATATTTACGCCATTTTGGAATAAATTAGCGTCGTTTTCAATAAGCAATTTAGCAACATTGCTGAAACCGAAAATTAGAGTGAGACAACATTTTCCACACCTATTCTTACTCATTTTCTCTGGAATTTGAAGAAACAATTATCTCGTTTGCATTTGTTACGCAACATACTTGCATTCCCAAATTTATTTTAATTGTATAATCAAAATGATTAATAATGAACAGGCTCAAGTGTCCCAAAATTATAGAGAGCTGAACGATTGTCCCCTCAGACACTGGTAGAGCTGAAATAGACGAGCTTTATGTCACTATCAAGTCTAGAATTCTCACTCTTATTGGACAAGGCAGACGTCCAAGCATCGGTGATCAGTCTTTTGTGTTGCCTCAAGCGCCGTCGAGCAGACTTCCAAGCCTTAAATTACCCAAATTTGATGGGAAATATTTGGAATATAAAAACTTTATAAATACTTTTAATAATTTGGTTCATAATGACCAAAATATATCCACTTCGGAAAAATTCAACCATTTGCTCTCATGTCTCAGTGGGGAAGCTCTTGCCACAATAAAGGCATTCCAAGTCACCGACGAAAATTATCCGAGTGCTCTTAGGAGGTTAAAAGAGAGGTACGACAACGACACTTTGATTTTTCTTGAAAATGTCACAACGATGTTCGAGCTTCCTAAATCCAATAAACCTGTCCCGAAACAGTTGAGAAATATTGTGGATACAATTTCAGCTTTGTATAGCTCTTTAAAATCCCTTGGGTCATATGAAAAGATTTGTGATGCATTCATAATTCATCTGGCTATGAGCAAGGTTGATTCGGAGACAAAACAACGATGGGATGAATTCATAGATTATTCAAAATTGCCCTCTTGGGCTGAGTGTTGTTCCATGTTGGACAAGCGTTGTCAACAATTGGATGCTCAGTGCCGAAGATCAGCAAAACAATTTACCCCAAATACAACAACAAATTACTTGCATAGTAATCAAAAACAACATTCGTTTGTAACAAAAAATGTGCCTCAAGATTTCGTTTGCACGCATTGCTCGAAATCGGGCCATATGATAACTACTTGTCAACGCTTTATTGTTTTAACTCCCAATCAACGGATTGATCAAGCTAAACAAAACAAACTTTGTCTCAACTGTTTAGCAAAAGGGCATGGTTACATACAATGTCCCTCAAAATATTCATGCAGACTTTGTAAACAACGTCATCATTCGCTTCTACATAAGCAAATCGAACAGGCATCTTGCTCTCAAGAAGAAGAACCGTCACCTTCCTCTGCTGCCACACATGGTACTTTTCAGAACAAGCCTAGCCCTCAAGTGAGTAATGTAATTCTTGCTACAGCATTAGTATTGGTTCGTGACTCTGAGGGGAAGTTTCAACTTGGACGAGCTCTACTTGACTCATGTTCCCAGGTGAACTTTATAAACGAATGTCTCTGTAACATTCTGAACTTAAAGAAATGTCCAAATCATACTGATGTCTCAGGAGTTGGTTCTTCGAAATTAAAGGTTTCCTACAAAACACAAACTACGGTTCGATCTCGTCTAAACAATTTTAATTTATCATTGGAATTTCTTGTCTCCCGAAATATTACCGGTTATCACCCCGATGAAAACATTTCAATTAAAGATTTTAATTTGCCATCTAACATAGAGCTGGCCGATCCAGAGTTTCATCGACGTCGAGGAATTGATATGCTACTTGGTGCCGAATCTTTCTTCCAACTTTTGTCTGTTGGTCAGATAAGACTTGGAGAGAACTTGCCCACGTTACAAAAAACACTTTTCGGTTGGATTGTCTCGGGGAAGTATACCAGCAATAAGAACAATACACAACAATCAACTTATTCTATTGTGCAAAGTGAGAATATTTTCCAAGAACTAAATAAAAATATGGAGATGTTGTGGAAAATTGATACGGTGGAAAATAAGCGTCAGAAATTGTCTCTGGAGCAACAAAATTGCGAGCAGCATTTTCTGAAAAATGTCTCAGTTCAAAATGATGGACGTATTATGGTGAAGTTGCCCCTAAAGGGAGATCCAAATGCTCTTGGTGAGTCTCGTGATATTGCACTACGACGTTTCTTTTCCATGGAGCGAAAATTAAACAAAAATCCAGACTTGAAAACAGAATACTCAAACTTTCTCAGGGAATATGAAGAAATGGGTCACATGTCACAGGTGAATGAAGCTGAAGTTGGTTTCCCTAATTACTACATACCACATCACTGTGTTCTTCGACCAAATAGTGTCTCCACGAAATTGCATGTTGTTTTCGACGCATCATGTCGTACATCCTCACAGTTGTCCCTAAACGAAATCATGATGGTGGGTCCAACAATCCAAAACAATTTATTAATCACCCTGCTTCGTTACAGATGTCATCGCTATGGATTGACAGCTGATATTGTCAAAATGTATCGGCAGATTTTGGTCCACCCTGAGGATAGGAAACTCCAGTTGATTCTTTGGAGACATGACCCTACACAACCGGTAAAAACTTTTGCTCTTAATACCGTTACATACGGAACTGCCTCAGCACCATATTTGGCCATCAGAGCATTGAATTATGCTGCAGAACGTTTCCCCGAACCTTACGACGTTGGGAAGTCTGTGGTCACAAATGATTTTTATGTCGATGATATGGTGACTGGTGCTGACAATCTTATCTCCTTAAACCGCATCAAGAAGGAGGTATCAGAAATTTTAAGTTACTCCAAATTTTCACTCTCAAAGTGGCATAGCAATTGCTTAGAATTGACTTCAATGGAAGATGGAGTCAAAGAAATGAAATTGGATGATGACGTCACTAGCACGTTGGGAATGACATGGCACTCAAATGATGATACATTCCACTTTGAGTTTCGGCCATCAAAAACGTATTCACATAATACTAAAAGAAATATTCTGTCTCTGACGTCAACCCTCTTTGACCCAATGGGCTTAATAAGCCCTCTCATAATAAAAGCCAAAATCTTACTCCAACATCTTTGGATTATAAAATGTGATTGGGACGAATCAGTTCCCCAAGAAATTGACTCGGCTTGGAATAATATTATGGCGGATTATCATAATTTGTCGCAAATTAAAATTCCTCGATACATTCGAAGGCCGAATCCTATCAATATTCAACTTCATGGTTTTGGAGATGCCTCTATGAAGGCATATGGTTGTTGCCTGTACTTTCGATGCGAAGACTCATTTGGCAACATATCAGTAAATTTAATTGCATCGAAATCCAGAGTTGCACCTTTAAAAACAAGAACTCTGCCTCGTCTTGAATTATGTGCTGCCCATTTACTCGCTACGTTCTGGAGCCAATTGAAACTGTACTTTAAATTTCCTATTTCAAAAATATTTTTCTGGTCGGATTCTCAAATTACCCTTCATTGGATAAATTCGCACTCTTCGACTTTATCAACATTCGTGGGAAACCGAGTAGCAGAAATTCAAGAAATTTGCAATGATGTCTCTTGGAATTATGTCCCAACGGACCAGAATCCAGCCGATTTAGTATCTCGAGGTTGCTCTGTGGACGATTTGTTGAATTCAGCTTGGTTCCAGGGGCCTTCCTTTCTCACGAGCCCATTTTCCGATTGGCCAAATCGTTCCGGTTCAAATCTAAGCGAGTGTGAATTGCAATTGGAGAAACGCAAAACCACTTTGGCATCAAAAATAGAACGATTGCCCGATATGTTAAATATTGTCCATAAATTCAGTAGTTATATAAAATGTCTCAGAATTTTCTCATACATTTTTCGTTTTCGTTCAAGGAAAATTCCGAAAGGGGTCACAATAACTCCAGATGAATTGAAACTTTCTCTTCACAGAATTGTATGGCTAATTCAACAGCACTATTTCTCAGAGGAATTTATGGAACTCTCAAAACATGGCTCTGTTTCTGGTCAGCTGTCATCTTTGGCTCCGTTTATAGAAGAAGTTGCTGGAGTGCCGTTAATCCGTGTAGGTGGTCGGTTGTTGAATTCAAATCTAACTACAGATGCCAAATTTCCCTTGCTCGTACCAAAAACTGACCCCTTTGTTAAAAATATGATAATTCATATCCATCGTACAAATTACCATGCGGGCCCTAGGGCCTTAGTATCTTTGGTTCAACAACAATTTTGGATAATTAATTGTCGGTCTTTGGCAAGACAAGTTGTTCATCACCCAAGGATCGAGTAACTGGTTCTCGTCCATTTGAAGTTGTTGGAGTCGATTTCGCTGGCCCTATACCCACATACCTTAGGATCCGTGGAAAGGCACCATACAAATCCTATATAGCAGTGTTTGTCTGCTTCTCTACAAAGGCTGTACACTTGGAAGCTGTATCAGACTTGTCCAGCGATGCTTTCATAGCATCTCTCAAGCGTTTCATTGGACGCAGGGGCATTCCGTCCAAAATATATTGTGACAATGCCACAAACTTTGTTGGCGCTGAAAAGAAGCTTAATGAATTCAATCATCATTTCCACCAAAAATCCAATATAACAGCCATTGCTGATTTTGCCTCAACAAAATTCATTGAATTTTCATTTATTCCTCCCAGAGCTCCTCATTTTGGCGGATTATGGGAAGCGGCCGTTAAATCAACAAAAGGTCACTTGCTCCGGACGCTACATAATCCAATGAAATGGGTTCTTGGTCGTGTCACACACATTGTCCCTGGGGCAGATGGCTTTGCTCGAGTGGCCGAAGTAAAAACACCACATTCAACATTTCGACGTCCAATCGCAAAATTAGCTGTTTTACCCCAAGATGAAAATTTGATTGAAACCGGAGGTTTCAATGGGGCCCGGCATGTTAAATCCCTTTTATTATTCTTATTAAATTTATTTCATATTTTCTGGCTCAAGGGTCATTTAATTTTATTCATAAAATTGTATTACATTTTTTATTTAAAAAATACTTAAATTAATGTAAATTATATTATTTTATTTTCACGATTGTTTGTAATGCTATTTAATAATATGTTTGCACCAAACTAGAGCCGCCCTAATGCCCTTTTTGTTATTCCTCTATGTGTGATGTGCTTGAAGTCGCCGCACAAAGAGAATAACACTTATTGTTGTTGTTTACACGCAACAACAGTCGAACGATCAAACAGAGGAATGTATGTACATACGTACATACATTTATTTACTTATTCTTTTCCTCTGCCTCTGTCGATCGTTCTGCCGCTGGGCAATGTAAATAATATTGTCCCGCTATCCTGGTTGGTATACCAGAATATTGAAACAATAAAACATTAATATTTGAAACATTCAAAGAGCAAAGACGTTTGTTTTATTGAATATTATTGGTGACGGGAAAAGGCAAGAAATAAAGTAAAAATTTACCCAACACACTAGTTGAGTAAGATAATTGGAATAGTGCAAATATTTAACGAAAAATATTTGGAAATATAAATAAGTATATCGCCTTGTTCTTCTGGCAAAAATATTATAGATTTTAACTGTCTCACACATTGAGGCATTTTGCGGTAAAAATAAATTGCTATTAAAGTGGAAAGCCAACGAAGAGAGGAAATCTTTGCTGCTGGAACAAACCATCTTCACTGCTGTTGGAGAAATATTTATACAAAGGAAAACGCTTACTCTGAGGAAGATTATTGAATATTGGGCCAAATATTGAAAATTATTGCTGCCTCAAGAGGAAGACTTACTTGCGCCCTGGGATAAAAAATACATAGTGAGTGCCCGTTGGAACAATATCAGCATCTACCCACGGAGTAAGTACAATTAACATACTCAAGCCGAACCCTTGAGTGAGGAATTTCTTCAATAACATATTGGACAAATTCCGGGGTTGTCAAAATAGGCAATCCTCAAACAGCTATAAATATTGACTTATGTTTCTTGGGAGGCGCTTTATAAACGGACCACCCCCACATATTCGATGTTTTAGGCGGTTTTATCTATATATTTTTCTAACCGAATTTGCTAGAGCATGTGAAGAAAAGTGCATAGCCGGAGTTAGAATTCCATTTATTAGGATTTCGCTGTTGTGATTTTTCAAATGGGCAGCGCTAACCCCGTGTCTTAATCCTAACGAAAATTGTTCGGCGTTTATAATGCAAAGACTGACACTGTATGAATGAACACCAAAAGGGGTGAACTGTGACAAACTTTGGGAATTTGGTGCATATCTAAATATTGAGAGCCATATATATATTTGAACTGATTTTCACTAACTTCAATAGGGTTCGTCCATAGGTTAGTCCGTGATTCTATGTTTATTCTTAAAAGTAACTGTATCTTGATTCCTCTTGCCTATTATAAACATAATCACAAAGACATAATATAAAGAGTTATGAGGTATAATAAGCTAATCCTCAAAAAATATATTTTCTTCGATAAATTATATTTTTATGTGATACAAATTGTTGGTTAAAAGTAAATATATTACCCTTAAGCTAACTGCATTACAACAAAAATATGACAATTTCAGTCTATGTGTCTGTTCTGCTACAGTTGTGGATATTATGTCAAGGAAACTGAAAGAAAACAAGAAAACCACTGAAATGGTGTTTAGCAACAATGCCAAGTTGAAGCCATTGTTGTTTGGTTCCGGAATTGTTCGTCTTTTCTGCATTTTTTCTGTTTCTGTTGTTGCTGTTGTTTGGTTTATTAAAAAATAAAGTTTTTAAAGTAAAATTACAAAATACGTGTTAACGGATAAATAACAATGACAAACAGAAAGCTGGGAAACTCTACAAACGATATTACGTCCGGCACATTATGCGATACGACAATAGAAGTCGACTAAAGTTTGCAAAACGACAGAGCAAAACAAGAAGAAGTTGAAGTAGAAGAAACTTAAGAGGATAATGTGGATTGGAGACTGATAATGGTGCCACTACAGCTATGACGCTGACATTACTCGGTCAGATAAGTGCAATTTAGTGTGGTGAACTGTGATTTTGTAACGATTTAAGTTTCTTTTTTCGTTTCTTTCTGCTGTTGTTACAGATTTTGGATGATATAACTAAAATGAAAATGTATATTCACGCTCCGCACACAATCCCACATAGCCATAGATTGCATTAGCACGTCTTGATTGTAAGTAAGTAAGAAATCAAAAGTGATTACATTGAATTTTCCCCAAAAACTGTAGTTTTACTTGTGGATGAATTCTCAAAACTTTTCCAATCACTTAGATTGGTTTGGCTTCATTCGTTCGTTCGCATGGTTTGGCTTGGTATTGCATGCATATTTGATAAATGCCTTATTATGTAAATTTTGTTTTGTAAGTTAATTAAGCGTATTGCCACTTTTGACACACATTTACATAAACACACACACATACATTCATTCATCCATCCAGTCAGCCATCCATGCATACGTATCGTATACATATAGCCGCCTATTTGCCTTTTGCCACATTCATACATATTTAAGACTATTTCAGTTTTCCAAATGCCTGCCTAATCGTTGACAGAATCTCGTTCGACGCCATCTTCTATGTCGCCTTCTTCGGTATCTGGTGCGGTGGTGCTTGGACTTAGACATCCAAAGTCATGCATAAATTGAGGCACCACCACTACCACTGTGACCACAATTCAATTAAGTGCAACCCTGTGTGTCAGTGTGTGTGTGTGTGTAAAGGCAAAGAAAGACAAACATGCGACATTTGTGTGTGATGAATGTCGGATCGAATCCATCTGCTTGCTTATCCATTCTCATTCGAAGAAG